TTAGGTTTTGTTATTACTGTTGTTTATTTTATTATTTTTAGTGAAGTCGTGTTCTTTACGTGTTATTCTTGGTTTAGGTTTTTATTACTGTTCTTTATTTTATTATTTTTTTTTTGTTTTGTTTTTTTTGTTGATTTTTTTGTGAAGTCGTGTTCTTTATGTGTTATTCTTGGTTTAGGTTTTGTTATTACTGTTGTTTATTTTATTATTTTATAGTGAAGTCATGTTCTTTACGTGTTATTCTTGGTTTAGGTTTTGTTGTTACTGTTCTTTATTTTATTATTTTTTTGTGAAGTCGTGTTCTTTACGTGTTATTCTTGGTTTAGGTTTTTTTATTACAGTTGTTTATTTGATTATTTTTTAGTGAAGTCGTGTTCTTTACGTGTTATTCCTGGTTTAGGTTTTGCTATTACTGATATTTATTTTATTATTTTTTTGTGGTCCTGTTCTATACGTGTTATTCTTGGTTTAGGTTTTGTTATTACTGATGTTTATTTTATGAATTCTTTTTAGTGAAGTGTTCTTTACGTGTTATTCTTGGTTTAGGTTTTGTTAATACTATTGTTTATTTGATTACTTTTTATGAAGTCGTGTTCTTTATGTGTTAATCTTGGTTTAGTTTTATCTTATTACTGTTATTTATTTATTTTTTAGAGAGAGACTTGTGATATATCTGGGTATCGTGATTTCATTAAGGTTTGATTTGAGAGAAAAAAAAGTTGGGAATATGAATGTCTATAAGTAAATTGTTTAAAAAAAAATTGACTAGCAGTTCTAAATTATGTTTGCCATTTTTCAGGAAAGTTAGATTTGTAAATTTGATCAAAACACAAATTTGCATAGTCCCCTGTTTTTTCACCCCTTTTAATGAATCTAAACCTCAGACGCCATGGCTACTTTGGAGGACCGCATCCTCGGGGAGAAGCTAGAGTATTATTGCAGCAGTTCGGAAGACGAGAGCGAAGATGACAACGAGGAGGATGAGGAGTCTGGGTCGCAGACGGCAGTTAAGGATGCGAGTCTTGAGCCACCTCCGGAGACTGAGCTAAGGAGCTGGGAGGGATCATCCACTAATGTGAGTGGTTGGCATCTTTCTCTCTCCCCTTTTTCTGTCTCCTTTTTTTCCTCTCCAATTTCTGTCTCCTTTTTATCTCCCATTTCTTTCTCTTTTTTTTCTGTCTCCTTTTTCTCTTTCCTTTTCTCTCCATTTGTGCTTTCCCTCTTCTCTCTACAGCTTGTATCCCTCATCTCTCTCTCTCTCCCTCTCTCTCTCTCTCATCACACACACACTCACACACACACACACACACACACACACACACACACACACATCACACATACACACACACACACACACACACACACACACACACACACACACACACACACACACACACACACACACACACACACACACACACACACACACACACACACACACACACACACACACACACACACACACACACACACACACACACACACACACACACACACACACACACACACACACACACACCCTTCTTAGCTCTTTTCCAGTACATGAATGTCTCCCCTCTGCAGTGTTTATCCTCTTCCCAGATACATATTAAGATCTGTTACTTGTTGAGCAATTAATGAACTCACAATGGGGCATCCGGGTCAGTTGGGTAAAAATCTTTTATTTGAATGATAGGGTACAGTCTCATCTCTTTTCAGACTGGGCCCAAAGGCGTGCTGAAAGACTGGCAGCGTTTCAAACAGCTGGAGACGGAAAAACGCAAAGAGCAAGAAAGAGAACGCCTTGAACTTGCAAAGAAGTTGGCTATGAGCTGCAGGTCACATGTAAGATTTTTTATTTTTTTTATGAATGCTCATTCTGATAGTGTTGGTGAATTCAAAATATTTAGTATTGAACTATATAGACCAGTGACTTTTTTTTGGAGGGTGGGGGATCTAGTATTGTATTTTTTTTTTTTTTCCTTTTTTTTTTTTGTTGTTGTTGTTGATTTATTTTCCCTTGGTTAAGTGTCAGTATTCAGTCATCTCAGTATTTATTCTTTGAATTTGATTTCCATCAATACATATTTATTGTTGACCTCGCATCACATAAAAAATTAAAACCAACTAAAAAGAGAATATGAGAATAAGTTACATGCTTCCTGTCAGCAATTTTTGAAAACTTTCGAGATTTTTTTCCAATTATGCATCATCTGCAACCCTTTGTCGAAGTAGATTTTGGGACTGCTGTTCATTTTACTCTAATTTTTAATAGTTAATTCCTAAAAGCAAGTGGTATGAATTGATCCTAATTTGAAATGTAACATATTAGCTAAATATTATCAATAGAAATGAAGAGAAATAATTTCTGGTGTTTTGATAAGGATATGTTCTTCTTTTGGCCTCCATCTAGACTGTATTTGATGAGGATTTGGCAAACAAAAGAACACAGGGTTAAGGTTTACAATAGGACCGCACCGGCTAGGAGAAAATTGAAGATCATAGCGTTGTAGGCGGTGAAAAACTACATTCATTGCTATCAAAATTGATTTGCAGAAGCGAACCTGTTCGCGTTAAATGACGAAAATGTGGCATGCAGAATGCCGTGCGGGGACTAAGTCCCCATGAGCCTCCAGTGACTAAGTCCAACTCCCTTCGCATCACAGCAAACCACTTAGCTACGCAGGAACTCAACATGAACTGTTTTAGCGCATGTAGCTCGTGACGTCACGACAAATTTCTTATAAGTGCACTGTAGTAAAATGCTTTTCTGTATTCTAATTTATATGAAAGTTTAATGAAAAACGCATTTATCATATGTTCATTCCTTAAATACACGATGTGATCGATTTTACCATATATGTACCATAGTTTCATTAGAAATACACGGTACATCCATACTTGCGCATCGCTGCCCTCTCCCGGCAAATTTGAGAGTTCTTTTGTCACAGTTCTCGTTGTTTGTTCCAAAGGTGAAGGTTGTTTACGGCGCTACTTGCGTTTCCGATTTTTCCAAGTTTGCGGTGAAATTGATCTCACTGAAATTGTTACAATATCGGGGATAACACGAAACTCAGTGAAATACAATAATCGTGTTCCAGTTGTAGAATTTCGTCTCTGGTTCATTACTTCCCAACCGCCATCCCCTCAACTTCAAGGTAAACTCATTTTGCACTTCTAAATGTAGTCAGTGGCGATCTAGAGGCACCGGTAGGGAAGCTAGGTAATCAGGAGGGGGTCCAGGGGTGGAGCCCCTGGTAGGGAAATACGGCAATCGGGAGTGGGTCCAGGGCAAAGCCCCGGTAGGGAATACAGCAATCGGGAGGGGTCCTGGGGGCATAGCCCCTGGGTTAGGAGGGTTTCTTGGTTCATATGGCGATCCTACTGGTAGTTTGTGTGTTTAATATGTGGTTCACTCGCTCGTTCGTTCGTGCAGCACTGTGTCAAATCATCCGTGACCGAATTTCTCTCGTGTTTTGACATTTTCCACTTTCTTTGTCATCTGAAATACTATCCTTGGCTCAGATTTTCAATTTCCTATATTCTTTTGCATTTTAAAATGCAATCGGGTGCGGTCCTATCGTAAACATTTACTGAACACAGGAAGACTGAGGCATCTCCACCTCCTACTACTAAGATTATATTATCCTTTCTTTTTGGTTGTTTATTAGAACTCTATCAACCTAAACCCCATCCAAATCTCAAAACAAGACAAAGCAATCCCTAGACCTTCTTGCCATGTCCTTCAGTTGGTTCTCTGCATTTTATTTACATTAGATAATATATGGGAATGAAGCCCACTAGCTTTTGACAGCTCCTGCCCAATTTAAAAATTTCCACAGATATATCTGTGTATTGTAACAAGAGGCAAACAGTTCAATCTGATTACTTCACCGCACTCATATGGCCCAAAATACAGACATTAGGCTTAGCGAGTCTTTTCCGTCACCCTGGCCTTCAGGCAAAATGCTCATGATGGCAAGTTTACATCACTCGGCCCACAACCAGATTTTCCCATGGTGGCAGGGTCACACACCTGCCCCTCAAGCCAAATTTATTCATGATTTGATGGTCACGTCATCCAGGTAGATGAGGTTTAGAGAGCACAGTATATTGCTAGGGTTTAGTATAGAATTCATAAGGAAAACTGGCAGATTGAATACTTTTGGGGATTATAATCCAAGAAAGAAGAAAAGAAAGAATTAGAAAAAATAATGATACACACCTGCATATGCATATCACTTGAAAATGTATTTGTCAGATATTGTTAATTTATACACAGAATAACAAAATTTTCAATAGGCACAAACAGAGAACAAGCAACATAAGACCCATTCTATCATCTCTGTGCAATTCCTCAACAGCTGGATGAAGAAAAAGACAAAGAAAAACAAAATGAGGAGGAGGAGGATGTGGACCGCCTGATTGACGAAGAGTTCCTGCGGCAGTACATCTCAAAGAGGATGGAGGAGATGATGGCCACAACTTCAACTAAGTAAGTGAACAAAATTGTTTATTCATTTGCTTGGAGTTTCAAGGATGTTGTTAAACTTTTTGGCAAAGTCCAGATAAAGAAAACTTAATGTTTTATAAAAAAGCATATAAAATTCTTGTAAAAAATCTCTTTTTCATTAGCCTAGAGAAACCTTTTTCTTCTTATTTTTTTTAAAGCAATTTTCTTCTTTCTTTCTTTCTTTCTTTTTAAGACCTTGTAAGTGTTTTCTTTCTTTCTTTCTTTTTCTAATAATCTAAGCAGTTCCTAATACTTTCACTGGTTGTCTAGGAAAATCTGTTCAAGTGGTTTCTAGTTCCCTTTGCTAATGTTGTAGGGAAAGCTAGTTAGTGGTTTCAACTTACCTTTCCAAATCATATGGTGAAAAGGTTGTTTATGACTAACTGCTTTTAGAATATAATTTTTCTTGATGACAGAGGATCCAGTGATGAGAAATTTCCACAAAGAAAATTTAGTTGATAAGGATAGTGATAAGAAAAGGAAAGTACAGAAGTACAGTAAATGGTCATGACAGAAAATGATGCTTCATTAATTGCTTATAATAGTTTGATGTTTTATGGTATGAATTAAGGACAATGATTTGAATTCTTTGAGGAATCCTATAGTGGATAATTTTTTTTTTTTTTTTTTTTTTCATAATTTAAAGATCACATCTACCAGACTACTTTAAGGCTTGTAAATCCTTTTTAAACTCCTCTAACTGTCACACACATGATAAAGAAATGAGGTTTGACTGACAGGATGAGACGGAAGTGCTGTAACTAATTTCTTACAAGTTCTTACAAGAATTTATTTTTTGACCCAGTCATTCATCCACAGGGCCCAGTTTGGTACATTGATTGCGCTCGATAATGGAGACTCATTCCTCGATGCCATTGACAAAGAGGACAAGGAGGTCACAATAATTGTTCACATATATGAGGAAGTAAGTTGCTAAGTCTTTTTAATAGCTGTGTTTTAGTTCAGTTTTGTTTTAATCCTCACAAAGTGTCTCAAGAGATCTGTGTGGGGTTTTATGCACAGTTTGCCCTGGATGTAGTGAGTTTCTAGTAAACCTAATAACAGTTTTATTGTTTTTCTATCATGCAGCCTTAGCCTTTCTTGATAAAAAAAATCTTGTGTTACTCCTCATAACAGGTTATTTAGGGTAACTCTTATGAATTACGTTTCTGAGTTCAATGTTACAAAGGCTTTATCTTGTTATACAACCTTAACTACACTTTATTAGGATGGTATTTACTTCATTTCCACAACCTAGTTTATAATCTAATTGTTTAATGTATTTTTATTATTTTTTGTTATTATTTTATCTTGCAGGAAGCTGCAGGATGTGAGGCCATGAATGGTTGTCTGGCTTGCTTGGCTCTGGAGTATCCACATGTCAAATTCTGCAGATTACATGCAACAGCAGCTGGTGTCAGCAGTCGTTTTGTAAGTTGTTTAACCAGTCCTGTTGCCTGTGTTTTCATTGTCTTTACTTTAGAATATATTTTTGTTGTTGACTTGAGCTGATGTAGTATTTGTTACTGCATATGCACTCATGGAGATGATACTGAGTTTGAGCTTTTCTGGCTTTGGCATTCAGAGTTTGAATAATAAGAGAGAAAGAAAATGCAATTATTTTGTTCAATTTCCAGAAAGTGACAGGTCTACCAGCATTGCTGATCTACAAGAGTGGACAGATGGTGGGCAACTTTGTCCGCCTCACAGATGAATTTGGGGAAGACTTTTATGCAACAGATGTGGAGTCATTCCTTATAGAGTAAGTAGTAGAGGTAGTTTCTTTTTTGACAGTACAGATATTAAATTTTCTTTTTTTTACTTGTGTGCTCTTTATCACTGTGTATATCAGTGTTGCTGTGTGTATCAAAATGTATATCAATGTGTATGGAGAATGCAGATATATCTGCACATAGAATCTGTATCTGTAGACATGTATGTGGTTAGTGTACATTTTCTACTTGTATAGAGAGTATACATTTGTAAACATGTATGGAGATTCCACTTAGAGATCTCACCGTTAAACTGTTGCCCATCATCCCAAACAGAAATCAATCAGCCACTGTTTAACGACACAGCCATTATTCTCTCCCCCAACAGACATGGAATGCTCATCGACAAGACCCTGATCCCCCCAGGAGTCACCATCAAGGGACCCTCTATCATGAAGGAGGATGAAGACAGTGACTTCAGTCTGGAGGACTAACCCCCACAGCCTTTCCTAGAGGCGTATGGTTAAGTTCCTCCCTCACCTCGTCTCCTCCACTCTCGTCTTCCTCGCCGGTATATACCCTCGATGCCAGTCTCAGTCACAGCCATAGGAGGGTTCTCTGTCCTTGTACATTAGGATTTCTCAGTTTTTGCTTGACTTGGGTCACAATGAAAATTTGTGTTCTTGGTTATCATTTTTTATTTAGTTGCCGTCGTTTTATTTTGTGTTTGTGGAAGAAACGTTTAATTAAAGAGTGACTGAAGACCCACAGTGTGAATATAAGTTTGTGTTAACAAAACTAAAGCAATTCATTTTATAAATCTTTATCTATATCTATGTGTCTATTGCTCATTCTAGCTAGCTATCTGTCTACCTATCCATCTATCTCTATCTGTCTGTTTATATAGATAGATAGATAGAGATAGATCAAAGGATATTAGTACTTTTTCTTTTACTTTCTCTTCTTCATGATCATCATCATGTCCATTTCATTATTCCAAGTTAGATTCCATGTGATTACTCAGAAACAATGGAAAGTGCTATTGTATTTTACCACTAACACCATTGCAAAGATCTCATGTGTGTGTGTGTGTGTCTGTGTGTGTATATATACATATATATATATATATATATATATATATATATATATATATATATATATATATATATATATATATATATATATATATATATATATATATATATATATATATATATATATATAATGTATATATATACACACACTCTTTGAAAATATATGAGTAACTTCAATCTAATAGGTAAGGCTGTGTAACAAAAGTTTGTTGCTCCTGTTCAAACAATGTGAATTACCAAAATCTTTCAAAAGACTGTGCATAGTGTAAGGAAATTAGAGAGGCCACAGTGTATAATACTTTTTTTAATGGCATTTATTTGATAACAGACTGGGTGTGCTGTTGTTTCTGTGCATGGTCTGATTATATGCTTAAAATGTACCAGATTGCTCACTGTCTTACTTACGAAGACAGTTCCTGAATCTCTCATCTTGTGTCCTTACCTGTAAAAGTGACATCGCTGATAAGTCCTTACAATCAAGTTTTGGTTTTCCTCCTTTCCTTGATTTTTTTCCAGGACCTAATGTGCCACTTGTAAAAATCTTTTGACTAACAACTTGAAATTTATATAGTAATAATGTTCAACATAATGTGGTACAATAAACATATATAATGTATGTAAAACTGACAAGAAATATTTTGTAATGATATATGCAATACAAACTAAATGTTAACTTAGGAATATTCACTAGAATACCTTCTAATTTTGTGGAAACTTGAGTGCAGTATTATAGAAATGAGATATAGAGATATAGTTCTAAAATTACACAACTGCTAGGAATATTGTTAGAATACTTATTATTTTATCATCTGATGCATCCTTATTATTATTATTATTAATTATTATTTTTATTATTATTATTACTACTATTATTATGATGATGATGATGATCATTATTGTCAATATTAACCCAATAACTCCGAATGTCCATGGAGATCACATAGCCAGCTCCTAGGGAAATGCTTGTAGCTGCCTGGCCGTTGCTCAGGTTTTATTTTCCGCTTCAGCCCATGCCATGTAATGCATTGTGCTCTTTATTAGTTTTATGTACTTTCTCTATGACCATATTGTGAAATCTTTTAGTAATGTGATGTGCAATGTCAAAGTTGTTATTGACTGATGTATGTTATATGACTATACTATCTCTTCATGTGGTTTACACTTTGTAAAGGAAGTAATATGGTTTTGTGGGGTGATAGAGTTAGATTTTTGTTGAATTTTTCATTCTTTTTGTTGAACTACCTTGGAGATGATACCCAGGTCATGCTGGGAATATACTACCCAAAGTACTGACTGACCCACTTTTGTGTAGGGTATACATCTACAATAGCTCACATGCAGGCTATGTTCTGAAGGCCGTTAACTCATACCACCTTTGCTCTTTGCACTGTGATGGTGTTAACAACCGCCATGTCAAGAAAGTAGAACCAAACCTTCATTTCTCACTTGATGGATTTGTTGCAGTCATACCTGACTGAGCCGAGACTGTAATTTTCAGGGTAGCTCCTTAGATGGGCACAGCCATAAATATGGCAGTGACATAGAAGCTGGTTAAAGGCTTGGATTTGCTATCCAGATTCAGAATGTGAACCCTAAGACATTTAGAGACTTCAAAGCTCTATTTTCTGCTCATGCCACTTGAACTTGGGTTGTCCAGGAATGTTCCATTCCCACACAAGCCTCAGTAGCAGTCACTCCTGTTATATTGGGGCACATAATTCAGCTCAGGAGTTATCACTGCTGTTGGCGTATTTGGCAGCAGGAGCTTAAGGAGCAACACCAGAAAGAAGTAAGATTTTGATCATTTAGAAGGTATCTAAAGGGAAGCAGAAAAAAATTATCAGGATTAGGTCACCCCTTCTTATAGAGATTTCTGACCAATTAGGTCACACCAAAAGGGCCTTTAAATCATGGCATGACCTGGAGGCATGACCATTCATACCATGGCATGAACTGTCTTGGCATATGGAGTTATAAGATTAATTATTAGGATTGTCATTGTTATTCTCATCATTCTTATTTTTCTCTTCATTATCATTAATCATATTATTATTGTTTTACTATTATTATTTGTTTTATAAATTAATTTTTCCATTTTATGTGATATCTCTGTATGAGGATTTTGTCTGATTTATACATTGATAGTACATAAAGTAGAGACTAGAAGTAACCCTGAGACTAAGAAAGTGGTTATAGTCTGGACTTCTAGAAATATTTGAGAGGACTGCATATGTTCTAACGAGTTTTTCATTTTATTACCATGATCATGTGACTGTTGCTAGAAATGTCTTGTTAATATTTACTTTCACCTTACAGGTCCAGATTTTATTAATTTATTTATTCATTTCACTACTTCCTTGGGAGAGCAGGAGTATAGAGAATGAAGGAGGGTGAACCTATAGTTGGATTAAAAGAACTAATTGTGAATGAATTGTTTTATGCAAACAAGTTCACTTATTGTATTTGAAATAAATTTTGTAACATGAATATTATTTAGCTCATTTAAGGTGCTTAATATTCAATGCAATTGTGGACTTTATGATAATTGAAACTAAGTAGAGGAATGAAAGACTCTGAAATATACAAGGCCAGATTTACAGCGATGGGGTCCCCATAGAATTATTCTTCCAATGTTCATTATTCTCAGACATGAGGAATGACTCGGAATCATATTAGTCGGCAATGAGTTTTTTATAAAAGGA